TTAAGTTGTATAACTGTTATATTTAATTATATTTCTTTGAATCAAACTAAATACTAATTATAAGTTATAAAATTTACGCTATAAATTGATAAATTATTTCCAATTTCTATTTAAGGTAGGAATCATCCTATATTCTTACTAAGAAAATGTACGAAAATCGGAAATTAAAATTAGTTTTTCTCAATATCTTATTAAATAATTGTTATAAATATATATAATAGCTATCTCATTCTTTTTTAAAAAATTCTTTTTTAAAAAATTCTTTTTTTAATTTCAAATTTATTATTTTTTTTTTTTATTTTTTAATTTATACGTTACTAAATAAAATTATTCTTCTATCCAATTTTTACAACAGATCAAATAACCCATATAAATTAATTCTTCATAAGCTTTAAACAAACATTTAAAATATTTTCTAACAGTTTTCAAACAATTGCAACAACGTTTCTTAATCAATTTGCCATTTTTTAAATCAATAATATTAATATTTATTCAGTTTCATTCTCGCAAATAATTCTTGTAACATTAATTATTATATAATTGTGCACTCAATATTTTAGTTTAAAATAAATTTAATGAAAATGTATATTTTAGAATTAATTTATTTTTATTTTTTTCTTATTTTTATAAACCCCTTGACAAGTCAAATTATTTAAATTTATATAGTATTTTGGATTATATTTTAATATTTTCATTTGCTTGTTATCTCTATTTAGTTTTTGCTTTTAGGCTATTTTTTAAAATTTTTAAATTGTCAGCTCTTGTGAAACTTTAAAATTCTCATTAATCACACTATTATTGACAAATCTTTCCAGTTTCAGCCTTTATAAAACAAATTGCTTATTCTGTTAAGAAATTTGGTTGTTACTCTTTAAGCGTATTTTTTTAATTGAAAAATATTAAATTTTATAATATATTAGTTTGTAAAATTAATTACTTAATTCTTTTAATATGATTTTAAATCAATAAATAAGATATTTATTGATTTATAAATTCTAAATTTATATTACTTAAAATTTAAATTACTTATTTATTGTTTATAATTTTAATACAAACTTATTTTGCTTTTATTGCTTAATTAATTAATTAATATCATTAAAATAATTTCGTATATTTTATATATTATATATATATATATATATTACCATCTTCTTTAAAAATCATTATCTTTATATGACAGAGCAATGTTTATTAATTAATTTTTTTTTTTTTTTTTGCAAAAATTAAACATTTATTTATAATTTAAATATTTAGTTACAAATATATAAATGAATAATTTATTTATTTTTAATTTTTTATAATATTAATAAAATAATTAATTATTTTATTATACACATTTTATGTATTCTACAATTTTTTTTCAAATTTTTATTTATTTTATATCATTATATATTAACATATTTAGTAATATAATTTTAATTATTTTTCTTTTAATTTTGAAATTGATCAATATTACAGAAGACTAAACAAAATATTGTTTTCCATGTCTTTTTATATAAAATGTACAACAATTATCTCGCAATAATATCTAATTTTTGGAGCCGTTTTTCCTTCAGCAAGAAAATACTTCAATAAATTTTTTTTGCTTATTTTACGTTCAATATGATCATTATATTGTTATTTAAACTATTTATCTCTATCATAAATCTTAATTTCACTTAATAGTAGAGAATTTAAATAAAAATTTATTATTCTGCCTTATTATATTTTTATTTCATCTTCAAATTTGTCTATTAATTTTAGGTTTTACAAAATTATTTTTGTTTTAGTTATTCTTTAAAATAATTGAAATAATTGAAGCTAATTAATTCAAATAGTAATTTTTATAAAATATCAGTTTCATTTAATTACTAGTATAGATCAGTAGGCACTTAAAGTTTATATAGGTTTGGTTATATTTACGATTATGATTGCGAGGTTTAACAATTCATTTTAACTATTTAATCAAGTTATTTTTATGTTCATAAGCTAGGGCTTATATCGATAAAGTGGAAATTTTGCTATTTTTTGAAATTTTGTTTACAATTTGTATAAAATTAAAAAAAAATTTTCTTATTTAAACTATGATTTAATTACAAGATAATGTTGATTATTATAATAATGTTTTATTTCTAACCTAAATTATTATTAAGATTAAGCCTTAAATGATTAAATTTATTAAATTTAATGTTTTAATAATTTTTGTTTCGTTATGTTGGTTCATTAATAATTCATAATATTTACATACTGTATTTAAATAATATTTAAATTAATTTCAAAAAATAAGTTATAAGTATTATTTTCACAATGTTAATCACGTTTAATCGCGTAGTTATATACAATTTTATATAAATATTTTTGTGTTCCCTGGTATATCCGACTTAACAATCAGCTACTATCAAAATTAGTATATATACCTAAATTATACTAATTATATATTCATTATTTTTTAATATGCATATTATCGTTAGTTTTATTCCAGATACAAAAATGAATGTTATTATTTATTTGCATTAATATAATTAATAAAAATTTTATTTTAGTTTTTCTTTTATAATTGTCTTGTATTTAATCATTTTTATTATTTACTTTACCATTAAAAAACTTGATATATATACATTTTTGTTTGTTATTACAATATCTTATCTCAAAAATAATCTAAGACAAAACCAAAATAAATTAGGTCATAAGATCTTTTATATTTGAACTAAAAATAATATTCAAAGCGATATTTTTTATTTAATCAAGAATTTATCATTACGTCGCAGTAATAATGTAAGAATCACCTTCAATTGTAAGTATGTAAGTCAAATTTTAAATCCTAGCAATGTTATTATGAAATTTGGTTTTCTTTAAAATTATAAACTGAATGTGCGAAATTGTTTTAATTCTATGTAGTTTTTATATTAAGTATTTCCTTATGTAATAAATTACAGATATATTGAAGTAATTTTGGTAAAGTGTAAAATTATAATATTTGAACCCACCCATATCAGTTCCACTGTTAACATAAAATGCAATCAAAAACTTAAAAAAAAATTAAAAGTCACACTACTTAATATGTAATTTTTTAATGTATCGTTGGCATGGAATACATTAGTAATACAAGGATATATTAACGCTTTATAATTAATTACAACTTATATAAATTGTTATTTATAGATGAAGATTATTATTATTATTATTAATCAACAATAACTATACTCACATCAAACAAATTGGTAACAAATTCGCTATTCAGATATAACTAATAATATTTCATACCGAAAGACTAAAATTTCTTATTGAGTTCCTCTTCATTTTCAAAAATTATTCACTAATTAATATTTTAATTATCCAGCATTACTTTTAAAAATCAGAAACAAAAACATTATTTACAAAAGAAAATCTAATATTTAATGTGTAATAATTCACAAATAATTATGTATATACACGTAAAAAGAGCTAATAACACTATTTACTAGATTTACTAGATACTTAGATTAGATTCTTAAATTACTTAAAAAATTTTCTTTAAATAAATCTCTAATTTATTTCTAACGGCATTATATATATATATATATATATATATATATATATATATATATATAGAATATTATGTAAATAAAATTTTTTAAAGTACTTCTAATAATAAAATAATGAGCTCATTCAAATAAAAAAAATTTTGAAATCTTGTATTTAATTTCTATTTTATGATTTAAATAAATAATTAACAGTACAAAACAATTAATATATAAAATATTTTTAACATAATAAGATATTTCTATAATACGAATCCTTTTTCAGATGAATAAAATATTTAAATACAGTAACAACAATACGACAAATTTTTAAATATTAATACATTGAATTATATAACTGTATACTGGCGATAATTATCCATATTCTCAAAATATAAAATATAAATTAGACAGAAATCTATCATGTCTTCAGAATAAATTACATGGACCCCACAAGCGTTCAATCTTTGCACTATACTTTTCAAGTTTATACTACAAAAAATTTTAAAAAGTATTTTACCCCTTAGATTATGATTAAATAAATCATAAAACTATGATTACATCGAAATAATTGTGATAATAATGAATAAAATTAAAATATTTACTTAACCATTATATTCTATTTTATAATTAACTATAATAAATAATATCTGATAAAATCATAAATGATTAAATAGCTAGTGGTTTTACATCCAATCATTAAAACATTAATAAACTATTCAATTCAATCATTATAATATATTACACACATCAATAATAATAAGTACATAAATTTACGCAAAATTGCGTAAGTTTAAGTCAATCATCGTTATTATGACGAAACAATAAAATTCATACATTTATTAACTTATGAACAAAATATTATAAAGGTTAATATTAGAAATTGTCATTTATTTTTAAACTTATATAAAATACATAATTTCGATCTAAAAGACAAATCTTTTTTTCAGTATTTGTATAGTATTTTTTATTGATCCTTTTCTTTCAATTATTAAAGTAATATAGTTCTATACACAAAAAATATAATAAATTTTTTAGAAAGTCAAACATGTTTTATCCAAGATACCTTTATAATTACTTTAATAAACATTAATTAAAATATTGAATTTTTCCACATATTTTAAAAAATATTAAAATACAAAAAATTTATAATTAAAAAAAATTTGTAATTATAAAATAAATAAGAATTTAAGTTTGTTAATTGTCTTTTCATAGTACAATTTTTTTATTTTGAAATAATAGTTATTATATTTTTATTAAATGTAATTAAAACAATCAAATTTAAATTTTCTTAAATATAGAATCTGTAAAATATTAATTCACTGATAGCGAATTAATAATTATAATATAGAGAATTATAATTAATAATTATAAAAAAAATTCTTTCTAATTCATTTTGAAAATATTTTTTAATTTTTTCAAGTATAAACTTAATATAAATCTAATATTGTATAATATAAAAAAGGTACTTAAACATAGAATTATTATGCATGAAAAAATTTATATTGATAAAATAATTACCCTTATTTCTATTACTGCTAGCTGTTGTAGAATAAGCAGCTTCGTGTACATGTATTGAAGTTATTAAATAATACATAAAAAATGAATTTACATTTCTGAAGACTTTCATATTGTCAACAAAACTTGAGACCGTAATTAAAATATAAATTTCTTAAATCACTAACACGAACTCGATCGATAACTGATTCAATTTATATCTATAAATTTACACAAAATGAGAAACAGTGTAGAACTTGGTAAACATTTCACAATGAAGAAGTAGTTGAAGATCACAATTCAAAATTATTTTGAAGTAAAAATTGTTAATGATTTTTTTACAATACTTCAAGCATTGATTCTCAATCAATTGATATCAACCCGAATTCTATACTTACTCACTCAAGAGTGCAACACACGTATTTAATATCTAATGCTCCACCTTTTCAATGTACTATTGGCTCTAAGCCCAATTTCTTACCCAATAGTACCTCTTTACCTCCTTTCCAGATACCTTGGCGGCCAAGAGTAGTGGGTAAGAGAATAGCAATAGTATCGAATGTACACCTTTAATATGCCGTTACCGACTCTCTTTCGCTTTTTTCCCGTTCTCCTTCTCAGTTACTTTCTCTTTCTCCCTCCACCCTGTTACACAGACCCAAGTAAAAAACTGTTCACTTCCCCTCTCCTGGCTCACTCACGGTCACTCTCTTTAGCTCTCTCTCTCTCTCTCTCTCTCTCTCTCTCTCTCTTATATATATATAATCTATTATATCTATAATATATATATATATATATGATTACATAAATTTCCACTAGAAAAAGATAATACAATAAAGATGAATATAAGAAAGAAAGTATTATTTGCTGTAAATAAATTAAAATATACGTCAAATTTAACAAAGATTTTATAAATATAAATTAATTGTAAATCAAATTCTTTTACTTATTAAAAAAACCTATTATTTCATATCAACTATTGATTTTATGTACGAAATATTTTTTAATTCTAAAATTAAAGGTTTTGTGAAAAAATGTGAAAAAATATGAAAATCAGAATAATTGATAATAAAAATGAAAAAATTTAAATACACTTTATGGAAGCATTGTAATAAAATTTCGTTATAAAACTATACTGAATCTAATCTAAATAATATTGATTAAAACTAAAAAAAAATTAAATATTAAGAAATATTTTCATTGTAAATATAAAAATTGAAACAAAATATCTTTGTATTTTTCAAAAATATATATCCCTTAGAATGTCTATAATATTTTAAATGTAAGTATAAGTAGTTTGATGTCAATATCTAATATTAAAAAGCAGCTTTTTAAACTTTTTATTCTTAAATTTTGCATATTATTGGATACGAATTTCGTTAAAATAATAGTAATTAAATTATAAAAAAAATAATATAATTTTTTAGAAATTTTTTTTAGAAATTTATTCATGCTTTAAAACATAATCATGACTGAATTATTATAAATAGAAAATGAACTTCTACTATAAATTATATTAATTACTTTCGTAATAAATACTTATAAATAGTACATAAATTAAAGAAAAGATAAGTGTAAAAAAATAAAATATAATAATAAATAAATAAAAATGAAATATATAAAAAAATTATAATAAAACCAATTATAGCGCATGTGCTCAGATCTTCACTGATTCACTTTTAAGTTTTTAATCCACTTATGATAGAGAAAGATCTTACAAAAAAAATTTGGTATAGGAATTATCTCATTATCAAACAGATTATCTCATCTTTTAGAGAATCAAAAAACATTAAAATTAAATACATTTCAATATAGGCATTAAGGATTGTATATAAAATATTATAATTAAAATTTTTATTTAATCATAATTATTTATTTAGTTTATATCTATAAATTTTCTCAGCATAAAATTTATAATAAAATATTGATTACAGCCTATACTAATTAAAACAGTAAAATAAGTTACAATATTGGAAAATAGTATTTTAACATCAAATTTAATTTCTTTATATTTAGATAATAAGAACCTTTACTTTTTCTACAGAATCTAAAACAATATCAAAGTTACAATAGAATCATAGGTCATTGTAAAAAAAATATGTTTAAATACGAAAGTTTAAAAAAAACACTTGGGATTTTATAAACACATAACATCTGTCTGTATCGTATTTTCTAAAAGAAGTAATGCTATATTAAAAAACTTTTCTTTTTTTTTAATATCTAAATAAATGATAATTTCAATAAAAAAATTCGATATATTCTAAGTATACCATTTCATATATTTTCAAAAATCGTCCCCAATATTTAATATGGTTGATCGTAATTATAATTAATATTTATAATATATCGTATTTATAATTAATTGAATATGGTAAGAGATATAAGATTAATAATTTATTGATTAATCCCTTATAATTATTATTTATTACACTTATTTATTCTATATAAATAATTTAAAATTTATAAATAGTTCAATTCCATGTAAATAGATGTAAGATAATTATTTCAATTATTTTAGTTAAATATTTAGTGATATACTTGGGGTTATCTACGCTGTTTCCGAATTCAACTCTTGATTATGGGTCTCTTCTTCAACATCTCATTTCTTTAACCGTTCTCACTTGATGTTCAATTACAAGTCTATGGATAGCATATATTCTTTACCTTTATTATTTTTATGTAGATATGCTAGGGAATGCTTTAATCATTAAATTTGCTAAAAATAATTCAAAACTAAAACTAATAATTAAAATGTTTCTATTTTTTATTATGTATACAATGAATATATTTATGAGCTCCAACTGGAATTAAATTAGTTTATACAAATTATATATCGCATTTTTATAAATTTACAATACAAAGAAAAAATGACTCCAATATATTAAAACACTGAAAATGATGCAAATATATGTTGTATGAACTTTCTGTAACACTAATGAAAATAAAATTATTCACAAAATACAATAAATTGTTTGCATCAAATGTTCTTAAAACTATACCCTACATACAATTGAGAATAATTCAAGTTGTGAATGAAAATATTGAAAAGAAACCATTTAAGATTATTTCATTACAAAAATATTAAATTCAAATTAATTGATTAAGTAAATGTACTACCATTCATTATTGAGAACGAACTATAAATTTTTTTATTTGATTAAGAAAGAACAAATTTAACTCTATAACTTTTTAATGAAATTAATAAATAAATTAAATAATAATAATATAATAATAATAATATAAGAATAATAATATAATATAATTTTTTATATTTATATATAACTTTGATTAAAGTTATAATAATCAAGAATAGTTGAATAATATTTATTACATTTTTACATTGAGTTTAGTTTATATCGGTGAAATATTAGTGATAAATAACTACTTCTGCATCAAAAATCAATCACTAAGTAACCAATATGTAGATAAAATTATGAATTCAATATATATAAATATTTGTTACCTATTTTAACAAAACTAAACATGATTTTATTTATATATAAAATAAATATCAACTTAAATGAATTATGAAGATTAAAATATGGAGAAGTATATACAAACAAGGAAAATATATATAAGACAACTATAAAACATAAATGTCTTGATAAAAAAATAATGCTTTATTTCAATTGTAATTCTAGTATATTATCAATAACCTAATTTTAAAATTATAAATTAAAAATTAAAAATTAAATACTATCTTTATAAATAAAATAAGGATCCGACTTTTCGATGAACATTTTATTTATTTTCTTATTTTTATCATTTTATATTCTATTTTAATAAAACTAATACTATGTTTACGAAATGAACTTACAGATGAATTTGTATTTGAATACATATTTAAGTATTTGTATTTGTATTATAGCGTGTATGTAAATCTAGAAGAGAAGATCATACATTAATAGTAGTTTGGTCTTTTCCCAAACATACGTAACACAATTCCTTATAAATAACTTAACAATTGGGAATAAAGAAAAAGAAAATATTATCTACAATCATTGCATCCCATTGTATGAATGAAAGAACTACATAAAAAATATAAAAGTTAATTGCTGCTGAGCCGATAGCTATGAACTCTTAGCACTATAAATGAGAGCAACCATTTTAATTCTATAAAATAAGTATACGTTACTTTCACTCAACAACATGGTAATAACCAACATTTTTGTACCACTTTATGTAAGTGTTTCTTACTTTGGCATGAATATTTTAACTCATTTTTAGCTTTAAATAAATAAATATAAATAATTAAATTTAAAACTATAGGCTTATATTCATATGTAAATTTAAATTTATAATTTATAAATGTAAATTCAAATTAAGAATTGTTAATAAAAATAAATATTGAAAAAAAACTACTAATTCTCTAATCAAATAACTTAAGGAGAAAAGGATTTTTGAGGATAATCTGCTGTGATGTTTTGAATTACTAGATTGAAAAAGAAGTGAAATAAGCACTAAAAGCTTGGTTAAAATTATTTATAAAAAAAACAAAATAATTATTTGTCAAATTAGAAAAATGTAACGATACAAGTCATATTAAGTTCATAGTGAGTAAAATATCCAGGCAAATCGTAGATAATAGAAGTCACCCCGACGATCAAAGTTATACAATTCAACAATGATATAATCTCTCTTAAATAACTATTTTAAAAAATACAAGTAAAATTGTATATATTATATATCGTGAGAATAGAATGTATATCAAATACAGTAAACAAAAAATTAATCATAACAACAAATTATAGATTTGAAGTATATTTAACAAAAAATATTTTAGAATCCAAAACACTTCAGGAAGTATGAGTTTAAGAAAATTGAAAATACAAATAATAATAGTAATGATGTTGAATTATAATAAAAATAAATTATAATAAATTGAATTAAAATAAAAAATTGGAAAAAAATTCATTCATAACAATAATCTATTGTTGTTCTATGAACTATTTCAAAAACAAAACGAATTAAAGTGAAGTTTCGAAAAATAACAATAAATTATTTAAAAATATTTTGATAATTATTAATTTAGAGATTTTAATGTTATTAAATTTATTATAAATTTATTATATGTGTAATCGTTATTATTATTTCGCTTCAGAGTAAGAGATTAGACTTCTTCATTTAATTGAAAAATGATCTAAACGTCAAATTTCATCTTTAAATTTAAAATGATATTTAAGAGTTTCTACATACCTTTAGAAAGTAATAGCAATAAAAATAAAAATAAAAGTTAAGCATAATGTAAACATGACATTTATTTACATAAAGCACAAACGTGAATAATAAAAATAAATATAGGGGACTATTATTATTATTAACTAAAGAAAAATATGAAGAATTACTGTTCACAAACTCATTCACAAATAAAATGGAATGTTGTTAGACTTGTGTAAAAAAACTTAAGAAATAATATTTTGAAAGACCTATACTTTAACCTTACAAATATAATGTAACAAAGCAGATTTCTGGCCTAATTTACAAAAAATAAATAAAAATTAAAATTATTAAATACTATTACATTTCTAGAAAATTGAATTGAAAATAAATAAGTACCTGAATTAAACTTTGAGAGATTATGAGCAAATAGAGCAAAATTACATAATTTTCTTAAAAACCTTCTAATGATATCTATTTATATATATGTTCTGTATAAACATATATATGCATGTTAATAACTGTTTTTCTGCATGAGTATAAATGAAAATTGATCAAAAGCAAGTTTAAAAGCATATCAACAGAGGATACTACAAAATTTAGTCCTAAAACTCATCTTTTAAATTTGGATGTATGAAATTTTCTGTTATAAATTAGAATTTATTAATTATAAGAACCAGTATACTTTAATAATCAAACAGCGTGAATAAAAAAATTGCTATGTAAAGCTAAAAAATCGTAAATAAAATTACAAAATAATGATTTATTATAAAATTGAGTTTTAGTCCTACATCTTAATATAAACATCAATATTGAATTTTTTGAAAATCAGATTGATTTAATGTCTATTAATATAAAATATTTGTTATGATACTTGATAAAAATATTTGCAAAAGACTAAGAACTACAATAGGGGGCTCTAGTAACGATATATAGAAAATTTATACTTCCAATGGTAATTTATTCATACATTAAATAACGTAAAAAAAAATCGAAAAGAACACAGTAAAGGTATTTTTATATTAAAAACAAATTCATGAAAGTAATTAAGATATGTATAATAATTTCAGTTAATGCACTCTTAGATATTATAGACAAGCTACCATATACACTAAAATTCAAAATACAGTATTATAAAAATATTTATAATACTAAAATTTAAACAACCTTATTTATCAAATTGCTTTATAAAAAGTTTATTTCGATATAATTCAAGGAGAATTATAAGGTATTACAACAAAATAAATTAATTTTAAGCTGTACGAAGTTAAAGAGAAGAGAGCAAGTGGCAAATCTATAAAATTAGAAAATATCTCAAAATACTTAACGAAAAATAGTATATGTTACACTATGCATTATAATTTACACAAAAAATAATTAAAATTTTTTATTTATATAATTTTAACCCTTATGTTTCACAATTTTTAATAGTACGAAGTAGATAAATTTTTTTATTCCATCTATATCATGGATAAGAGATCTTAAAAAATTAAATCTATAATAATATAAAATTAGCAATCCAATGATTTATACCATTTTATGTTTTTACTATTTACAGTTTGTAAAAATTTGAATTCAAATAAATGCTCTATAATAATATAATTAAATCATAGAATAAATAGAAAAGAATGAATACATATGATAATATAATGTAAAGAAATTTTGTAAACATATATCATATCTATTAGCTAATTTAAGACTGTAGATACATTATCACATTGTAGTAACAAACATCTGTTTATGATGGAAAAAGTTGCATAATAAGAAAATAAGCTCGGAAATGAATAAGAAGAAAATGCATGACCAAAGCCAGTTTTGAAAAGTAACAGACCAAGTAGTTGAATGAATTTGCCGTTTTATGTACTCTTAAATGAGTACATAAAATGAGTATAATAATAATGAGAATAATACTCTTAATGAGTTCATATACATAGATATGAAAATACTGTTGAAAATATTAATCAATAAAAAATTATTCGCTTACATAATTATCGTATATTATAAATTATATTATCTCCTACAATTCCACATTATAGAAAATGATAGTCAGAAACTATATTTCCCGTCAATCCGTAATAAAAATTTTTCAATTTTATTTAAAAAATATATATATAACTAAAAATAAAATTGTAAAGAAGATTTATATAAAACATAGATGTTTACATGAATGGTTAATGTGTTAAATATCTGTTTGTAATGGATTACTCATTCAATAGATAATCTTTATTAAAATAAAATATTTTTTTTTGATTTTTTAATAATATAATTATAATTATTAAATAATATTATTGTTTATTACAAAAATAGGCTGAAAATAAATTTTAAAAGGAAAAATTTTGTAAAGTAACTAGGATTATATATGATTGGACTATTATTTACGAAATAGAATGTTTTATTAAATAGTTTATAATTAATTTGAAATCAATTTATAATTGAAATGTCTTATCATAGCCAACTACGTGAAGTACTAGTTTATAAAAATTCTATTCTTTTAATTTTTTAATATTCTACATCTTTATGTAAAACTGTGCAATCTGTTTATGTCAAACGTTAAATCTGTCTATATTATAGTATATTTACTATTAAATATTGTATCATGTATAGTTTTACTTATATTGTAAGAAATAATAAGCTTTGATAAGCATATATATTGGTTTTCCGAAATAATACAATAAGTGAATTTAATTTAATAATAAATCATTTATTGATTACTTATTCACATAATTGAAAAAATTAATAATCAATTTATGGACCCTATATTCATGTTTAATTTTTTAAGAAAAAATAAGTTGAATTATTCTATCAGAAATTGATCATTGATTTTTTGGAATTTGATGAAGTTTATTTGAAGAAAAATTTTTTAAATATTAGTAAAATAATTTATTTTAATTTAATTTGAAGTAATATTATAATTATTAAAATTATGTATCTAGTTCATACAATAATTTTTTTTATTTGGCGCGGTAATCAACTGAAAAATTATAACCAATGAAAATATTGTCTTTTAATGACGTCAGAATATTTTTGATGTAGTTGAGTTAGTACCCACGTAGTTCTCATGTTTTCAATCATATTAACGAATCTATATTGGTTCTAGAAATTCATCATTAAATGGAAATAAAATTTGTTGGGTTGACGCATTGATGAAGTTAGTATTAACAAATAACAAAGTTATTTTAATATGATACAAATTTTGTGATAGTAATAAGAAAGTGTTTCTTTGTGAACCGCAAAAACGCGGTTTTGATGGGAGTGGTAGGGCCATCACGGCACTCTAGAGTGTCCATGAGCGTGTCGATGTCGCTGATGCAGGGTGGCGGGCCTCTTACGGGGACGGCCGGGGTTAACTCAGCCCAGATTGTCCTCGACGCATCATCTATAACCCAGCCACCCACTACATATTATCATTCAACAATACCAGGAAGTCTTCAATCGCATTCACAATCTTCAAATCAAGATACCATTCAACCTGATAGACCCATTGGTTATGGTGCTTTTGGTGTCGTTTGGTTCGTATTTTAATTGTTTTATTTTACCTTAAAAATGAATATCTTTGTTAAAATTTAATTTTTATATAAAATAATACAAAAAATCTAACAAAAAATATCATTAACAGCGAGAAAATAGAAAAACAATATTAATTTATAATATATTTTCGTAAATCCATTTACATATTTAAATATTAACTTGCAAAATCTAGACAATATTGAATTCTAACATAAATTAAAATATATTATTTTAATAAAAAATTATAATTTGAAAAAGCCAGAACTAGCCAAAATATTACAAGTGATTAATATATTAATAAACTATAAATTAAGTAATAAAAATTTTGTTAACCGTTACATTGAATTTTTTTTTATTATTTTTAAAATAAATTAATAGTTTTGTAAATTTAGGTTTTACAATAAAAATAAAAATTTATTAGTAATGAATGATAAAAAGTTTAATAATAAAAATATATATATCATTTATTATATTTATCATTTATAGATAAAGAGTATAAAATACTCAAAAATAAAATGAAGGTATATAATACAATAAATACATATTAATCCTTTCCCAAGTACATATTTGTAGGCATGTATATATGCATAATTTATTTTAATTAAAAATGAGTATCTCGTTAAAATTAGAATCATTGAAAGCAAATATATTGAATATCAGTAATGGAAATTATTTTATGAATTATATTCATATTTTTTTAAATGAATTTTTAGTACAATACAATATAATATGTATGAGTGAGATTTCATTCTTAAATTTATTTCAAATTTTTAATGATTATAAAAATTTTATTTTTTTTTTTGATAATTTTATCAATCTTTAAGATGTATACAAAAATTATAAATAATTAAATTTAACCATTAAATTTGCTTAAATTTGTTTTAATACATATAACCGTTTTAAAAAGTGTTAATGTTGTAGATTAAAAATTTTGTGTACTCTTAGATTACATAAACTATTTCAATTTTATCATTATATTTAAAGTTACATGTAAACTACCTACAGTACTCCTAAAAATAATGACTGTTATATATAAATAAATAAAATGTACCAAATACTGTTTCGTTTATAGATTTTTAGTATATTATTATATTTAACTATTATTCTATAATTCTTATTTAGATCATTTATTTGATTAGTCTATTTATTTACTTTATGTAAGTACATTTATCATTAAAAAAAAATAATAGATTCTTTAAAAATCTTTAAAAATAATAGATTCCACATAGAATACCTGTTCTTCTCATATTTTTAAGTAGCTTTTCTGTATATACTTTTTTCTAATTTTTCTAAAACTTGAGTAAATATTTAAGATGAAAATTGATATACTATGTATATTTATTTATTTTATAATAATTCTTGCAAATATAAAATTATAATGATATTGTTACATTGATTATAATTATATATAATTTATAGAAAATTTATTTGTAAATTTAAAAACTATATAATTATATTATAATTTTCTTAATAATATCATTATAAATGATTACATATATGAATAATACATGATGTCATTAACAAGATATTGAGTTCAGTATATGTAATAGTATAAAAATATTTATGGCTTTTGCTTTTACTAATTTTTATATAAACTATAGAGATAATAAATAGTTTTGTTATAATAATACATATAATAATACATAATACAACAAGAATACATACAATAATAATATACATCAATTAATTTTAAACTATAATATTTAATTAAATAGATTCAAGAAGCTAGAAAATAAATTCCTTGAAGTTTTATAATAAAAAACTTATCCAAAAATAGTATTTCCACATATGTTTATTGTAATTTCTTTTAATTATTTTTTCTGTATAGCCATATCTTATAAAAAATATAAAATACAAGATTATTCAATATGAAATGGAAGTAATTTCAATATTTTTATTTAAAAAATATTTTATTTCAAATATTTAAAATATTAAATTTCAAAAATATATGTTTCAAAAATAAAACAAATATCAAAAATATATAAAAATAATATATCAAAAATCATAAGGTCGATAAGAGTAACACAATAATAATATAAAAGAAAAAATAACAGAAAATTATCTAAAACCAATTTAAAGTTATATTGCTTCAATTTGCTTGTTATATTATTGATGTCTTTTTATTATGTAATTGATTAATGATAATCCTATACAAATATATTTTATTGATTAATATTCAAACATTAAATTTTTAAGATCTGGATAAAATATTAAGTGTATGTACAGTTTGTATTAAATTTTATATTGTGATTTTATATTCCTAAATTTTAATTACAACAACATCATATCTATAATTTTTATTTTTGCAATAATTACATTGCTTATTTCTGAATATTTTATCATTAAAATTTTATATATTAATTTTAATTAAAAAATGGTAATAATATCATCAAATTAAACATTTGATTTTGTTAAATATTAGCCATACTCAAATATTTAATATTTAATATTTTAATTTATTATACATTAGTTAATTCAATAAAAATAATAAATTATTAAAAATATTTCAACACAAATTTTGTGTAATATCTAATAGATAAATATTGATTAAATTTTAATTTGTTTCGTGTAGAGAATAAACACTTATTCCAAAAAAATCTTTCTCCAAAAAAATATGAAATGTGTATTTAAAATTCGATTTTAAAAATCATAAGAACTAGGATTTCAATTATTTTTAACAATGACTGAAATCTAAATATAAATAGAATTGATATGTAAGAAAATACATAGCAGAATAGATTTTGTATAGTATTGTTTAAAAAAATTTAATTTATACAAGATGATGCTTATACAGCATTAATTAAAATTGTATACTTTTACTTTCAAAATTGCGTCCTAGATTTCAATATATGTAAAAATTGTTTTTATATTAGCCATGGGTCAAATATTTTAAGAATTTACAACAATGTATACGTTTGAACATTAAAGTTTTTAAAATTATTCTATTTGAAGGTAGTTTACTAAAATTTTCAACATTAATAGAGGAATAGAAGATTGAATCATAAATTATTAACAAAATTAAATAATAAAATTGATTTTAAAAAAATTCCCAACGCAATTTACTTTATTTCTTCTTGCCATTATGCAGTTATTCTATATAACTGCATAGTCAATTTAACAGTTATAACAATAAACAGCCGTTATAACAGTTATTCTACCTTTAAAAAATCCCATTTTCGTTAATTCATTGTGTAATAAATGAATAATATTACAATATCTGTTGCTTACTACATCTTTTACAAAGATTTATTATTATTAAAATACTTTATTTATTCATGTATCAATTGTAGCATAGATTTTTCTTTGTTTTTGTTATAACACATTAAAAATTATTTTACTAATTTTATTGTGCATGTAAATTATTTCAATACAAATATGATTCACAACCATAAGTTAACACATATAAGTTTTATTTTGTCGAACAACATTCCAATATTCAAAAATCTTTTTGTTATTTTTATTTACTTTTCGTATTAATTTGAAGAGTTTGAAATTTCAGTAGTAATTTAGACAAGATTTTATGATTATAAAGTCACAAAACTTGTGCAATTTTTCCACCAACCGATGATAATACCAAGCAGTTACATATAAGCAAAATAGATGTAACCTTGATAACGATAAGTTACAAAATGTTATAACGAAAGAAAAAATTCGGTTAGTAACTTAATACAATAATTGAAACATTAACATGACAAGAGTTCAGGTGTTCCGTAGAAAAGATTTGAAATAAAACATACAATAAACTATTTAGGAAGTTTTGCTGTGATTATTGAATATGAAATGAATAATATTTTTACTTTTTATTATAAAATATTTTATTATTATATATTCAGAAATATATATATATATCATTATTATGTATTATAAAACATAAGATGATTTTTATGAGAAAATACGTCCTTAATTTGTATATTCAGGGGATAATAATTTAATATTTTTTTTGGTTCTGTCGTCAATAAATAAATATTAATACACTATTCTTACGTATAGATCTATTAGTATCTCATTGATTCAAGTGGTAGACTTTGAATTAAAAGAACTAGTTGATCATAATAATTTAAATTACTATAATAATATTAATTATGTTATTTATAATTCACCTACGAATTATCTTTAGGAAATTCTGAGTTTCAATAATGCTAGAGTATTTACAGTTATATAGAGTATTTATTTTATTATATTCTCTTAATTGACTTAATTGTCGAGTTCCATCAAACATTCCAATTGTTCCTAATTTTCATATACTTTTTGATTTTTATGATAAATAGCATTAAATTATTTATTATAGATGTTGTGAACCTGTTTCCATTCTCGATTGTCCTACAACATCAATTATCTGTTATTCCACGTGTATTCCTTACTTAATAATTTCCCTTTTTTCCCTTCATTGTTGTTTATCTTCATTTTCATTGTCAATTATAGTTGATATTTAATACTTAGAAGTTTTTATTGGGCTAAATGTGCCTTACTAAAAATATTTTATTGGAGTCATTAATCTTTGTATTCTATTTCTCCCTGCAAAATTATATATTTTCTCTATAATTAGCATCGAGTTATCATGATTTATTTTTTGGTTAGTACTTTATATTTTGAAAAATTCGTCTCTGTATATCCCTAATATTACAACAATTTTCTACTTATTGTAAACACTTTTCTGATAATTCTCACGAGTTACGTTTTTATATTCCTGCTACTTTGATCTAGCTTATTAGCAAATGATATTACTCGAACATTCGAGTAATATAGGTCGAGGTCATCTTGTTTCTCTTGTAATATTGAGTTATTTGATGCTTGTTATGACTCATTCATAGCATCAATTTCAATTTCAACTCAAGTGTAACACCTAACATGTTGAAATTTAAATCATTACTTCGATAAATTCATGACTTATTTGTCACATTTTTGTCACATTTGTCACTTTGTATATATTTTGTATGTGGCTAGAATTATTTTTATGGGTATAATTATTATTTATTACTACTTATTTTTGGTATAACTATTA